GTAGGCAGATGGCCTCCAGCAACCTGTGCGGAAGGGTCTGGATATGACTGGATATGACTGGATATGAAAACAGAATCCATCCTTCTGCTGCATACAAGAAATATACCTCAAACTCACACACAGATATTACCTCAGAGTAAAGGGTTGGGGAAAAAAATTTTTCCAGTTGAATGGTCCTAAGAAACAAGCTGGTATGGCTATCCTAATATCTAACAAAATAGACTTCAAACTAAAACCAATCAGAAAAGATATGAAGGGCATTTCATATTCCTCAAAGGAAAAATCCATCAAAAGGAAGTCTCAATTTCTAACATCTATACCCCAAATACAAGGGCTCCTGCATTTGTAGAAGAAACATTATTAAAGCTTGATCAAAAGTCAAAACCCACACACTAGTAGTGAGAGAAGACTTCAACAACCCACTCTCACCACTGGACAGATCTGCCAGACAGAAGCTTAACAGAGAATTAAGGGAACTAACAGATATTATGACTCAAATGGACTTAACAGACATCTATAGAGCATTCCACACAAACACACACACACACACACACACACACACACAAAACTTTCTTTTCAGCACCTCATGGAACATTATCAAAAATAGACCACATACTTGATAGCAAAGCAAACCTCAACAGATACAAAAAAATTGGAATAAACCCCTGCACCCTATCAGATCGCCATAGCTTAAAGTTAAAATTCAATTAATTGCTATTGAATTTTAACCACATAACCAAAATTAAATCAAGAACTGTTAAACAACTTAAATACACCTATAACTCCTAAGGAAATAGAAACAGTTATCAATAGTCTCCCAACTGAAAAAGCCCAGGCCCAGATGGATTCAGTGCAGAATTCTACCAGATGTTCAAAGAAGATCTAATACATATATTCCTCAAATTATTCCATACAATAGAAACAGAAGAACATTGCCAGTTATCTGATACCCAAACCACACAAAGACACAATGAAGAAAGAGAACTACAGACCAATTTCCCTCTTGAACACAGATGTAAAAATACTCAATAAAATACTGGCAAACAGAATTTAAGAACACAGAAAAATTATCTACCATGGCAAAGTAAGATTCATCCCAGAGATGTAGAGATGGTTCAACATATGAAAATCTATCAGTGTAATCCACAATATAAACAATACTGAAAGAAAAAAAACACCACATAATCATCTCACTAGATGCTGAAAAAGCCTTAGACAAAATTCAACACTGCTTTATGATAAATGTCTTAGAGAGAATAAGGATACAAGGAACATATCTAAACATAATAAAGACAATATACAGTAACTCAACAGCATACATCAAACTAAATGGAGAGAAACCCAAAGCAATCCCACTGAAATCAGAAACAAGACAAGGCTGTCCACTCTCTCCATATCTATTCAAACATAGTACTTGAAGTTCTGTAGCAATAAGACAACAAAAGGAGATCAAGGGGATACAAATTGGAAAAGAAGTCAAACTCTTACTATCTGCTGATGATATGATAGTATACATAAGTGACCCCAAAAATTCTACCAGAGAAATCCTACAACTGATGAACACTTTCAGTAATGTAGCAGGATACAAGATTAACTTTAAAAAAATCAGTAGCCCTCCTATATACAGATGTAAAACTGGCTGAGAAGGAAATCCGAGAAACATCACCCTTCACAAGAGCCACAAATAATATAAAATATTTGGAGTAACTCTAACCAAAAAAGTGAAAGACCTTTATGGCAATAACTTCAAGACTTTAAAGAAATAAATTAAAGAAGATACCAGAAAATAGAAAGATCTCCCATGCTCTTGGATAGGTAGGATCAACATAGTAAAAAAGATAATCCTACCAAAAGTAATCTACAGATTCAATGCAATCCCCATCAAAATTCCAGCACAATTCTTCACAGACCTAAAAAGAATAATACTCAACTTTGTATGAAAAAAAAACCAGACTACACAGATCGTGGTGGTGATACATGTACTGAAAAATCCACAATTCAAACCTTGGGAGCCAGTCAGGCGTGCCAGCATTTGGGGTCTGAAAAAAAAGTCATAGAATGTGCATATCACAAGCTCAGACAGATGATTATTTCTCTAAACGTATGCGCTGTGTAAACAGAATGTAGGAAGCCCCTGTCAACTCAAGGCTGGCTTTTTGTATCAGATGTGTTTATTTCGGGCCAGATTTTGCTGCACAAATGAGTTATAAATGCTTTTTTATTTTTTTGGTACTCAGAGCTCTTGAGGTTTTGGAACTGCAAAGCTGTTTCGTCTTCAAGATGAACAAACTGAGAGGAAAAGCTTGCCACATGTGTTAACCTCCAGGAGGTGGGGCTGGGCTCCCTGCTCCACAGAGGGGCTCTGGAGTCCATGCACACGTGCTGCAGTGACTGTTCTTGCTTGTCAGCCACATCTGCGATGAACTATGATCCAGAAATGGAGGGAACACCTGTGGGAGATTTTCCGCTTGGTTGGAAGTGGGTGGTTCCACTTCTAGTCTGGACCCTTGAGGTAGGAAGACGCACACCTTTGACCCGGATCTTGAGGCCTGAAGACACATGCCTTTAATCCAAACCCTGAGGTGGGAAGACAGACCTTTAATCCGGACCATGCCTTCTGCCTCTGCCTTTACAATTTGACCACACCCACGCAGAAGTTGTTTATGTAAGGACGTAGAAGAAGGAGATGTGTTGGCTCTTTGCCTGCTTGCCCTCTCCTTGCTGGGACATTCATTCCTTCTCGGGCACTGGAGCCTTCTTCTTTGGGATTCCAGCATCTACAAAAGACAAGCTGAGACACCCAGCTTTGTGGGGCTGAGCATCCTCTAGATTCTTGGACTCGCCATTCACAGATAGTCATTGTTGGATTAGCTGGGCTGCAGCCTGTAGGCCCTTCCAATAAATCCCCTTTACATATACATGTAGAGAGAGATTCATTCCATAACTTCTGCGACTCTAGAGAGCCTTGACTGGCACACGTGCTTCCGGTGGGATGTCTCTGTGCTACCTGCCAACATCACAGCAAGCTTGCAGCCCTCCGTGAGAACCCAACACAGTACAGATGATTCCTGTCGTAGGCTGAATTGTGCCCTACCGAATTCATACGCTGAGTGCCTAGCCTCAGTAACTCAAAATATAACCTGATACAGAAACAGAGTCATTGCAGAGGTAATGGATCAAGATGAGGTCATTGGAGTGGGCTCTAATCCAGTCTGAGTGGTGTCCTGAATAGCAATAACTTTGGACCTAGAAAAAAGATGCACTCGTGAAAAAAAAGTGACTTAAGGCAATGCTGCTTCTGCAAGGTAGAAATGGCAGCGATTGCTGGAAAACCATCCAAGAGGGGCACGGGACAGAGCCTTCCCCGGTGCCTCAGGAGGAAGTGACCCTGCCAATGCTTTGATTTTGGACTCCAGAACTGAGAGACAATAAGTACCTGTTGTCTAAGACGTGCCTGCCCTCTGTGGAGCTTCGTAATAGCAGCCTTAGCTAATCAGAGCACAATTCCTACTCAGTATGAAACTCTCCAGACAGAGAGTGGTAGCCAACCATCCTTAACGTCAGCAAGACACTTTGTTCATCTGCTGTGATAGAGACGGCACCCAGGGGTCTGGTGCATACTAGACATGCACTTCACCACTGAGCCAACCTCTTGCTGCTCCATTATGTCACCTGAACTTGAAGATCTTTAAGACCTCTCCCCAGTTTGGTCTATGCTCATAGCAGCTCAATTCAGCTCCACCTTGGACGATAAATCTAACCTTTAGAGCATTTCTCTGCTGTTAGTTTAAAGATAAACTAACCTGAAAGTGATTTTTAAAAAAAGCCAGCTACTACTTCTTTTCCCCCACTGTGAGTTATGTCCCTAGACGTGAAAATAAAACTGATGTAAAACGTGGGCCTTCCAAATGGAAGGCACTGGAAGAAACCATCCTGAGTGAGGTAACCCAGTCACAAAAAGACAAACATGGTATGTACTCACTCATATATGGATTTTAGACATGGAGCAGGGCATTGCCAGCCCACAACTCCACTGCCAGAGAGTCTGAGGTGCAGGGAGGACCCTAAGAGAGATATGCATGGTAACCCAGAGGAGGGTTAGGGGATTTGATCTCCTAATTGGATTGGGGGGGAAGGGGAGAGTAGAAGGAGATGGGAGAAAGAGAGAGAGAAAGAGGAGAGGAGAGGAGGACATGGGAGATCAGGAAGGTTGAGCCAGGGTAAGAATAGAGGAGAAAAGGATAGGAGATACCAGAAAAGAGGGAGCCAGTATAAGTTGGAGGAGAGGTCTGGCACTAGTGAGATCTTCACAGGTCTACAAGAATGACACCAACTGGCATTAAGGCTACCTTAAATGCCCTCCCATGATAATGAGCATGATGACTACCTTATATGCCATCCTAGAACCCTCATCCAGTGGCTGATGGAGGCAGAGGCAGACACCCACAGCTGTGAACCGAATTGAACTCCTGGAACTCAGTTGCAAAGATGACCAAAGGAATCAATATCGGGTTGGCAAAACCCACAGAGGCAGCTGACCTAAACAAAGGGGAACACATGGACCCCAGACTGATGACTGAGGGGCCAGCATGGGACTGATCCAGACACCCTCCCACCAACCTGGGTGACAGAGAGGTCTTGGCAATCTGTGGGACCTGGGAGAGTGGAGCAGTATTTATTCCTGGCATACAGAGGGACTCTGGGAAACCATGCCACATGGAGGGATTCTCTCTCAGCCTGGACACATGGGGAAGAACCTCGGCCCTTCCCGGGATGATGTGACAGACCCTGAAAATCCCTCATAGAGGCCCTTGACCTCCCTGGGGAGCAGAAGGGGGTGGAGTGGGGGTGAGAGGTTGGGAGGATTGGGGGATGGGGGAGGAGGGGAGGGAGAGGGAAATGAAAGTGACATGCGTAAAAAGTTAAATAAAAAATATATGGAAAAAAAAAACATGGGCCTTCACATGCCTTTCCTTGAGGCAGCTCTATTGTGAACTCACTTGAGTTGTCTCCGTCCTTGTAGAAGGAAGTAGAAATCTAAATTGGGGGGTCATTTCCTGTGACTTAAAATTATGTCACCAGGACCCCTACGTAGCCTTGGGAAGTCTGGGCTCTTCCTGTGGAACACGGGGGGGTGGTGGTAAAAAATACTTAAAAGTTTGCTTCGGGACTTAGTGGAAAGGAGTCCCTATTTCAGAGCTAGTTTGGAGCTTCGAGCCTCTACCCTTATCGCTGGACCACACCAGAAGTGAGTTGCTGTGTGGGTGGGCATGTCCCGAAATCCCCATCTGCGGAGCCTTAGAGGCTGAGCCGCGCTCAAAGGACAGGCTCCTCTTTTCTTCCATCCTCCCACCCCACCCCCATCTGTGGCTGGCCATGTGGCGGTGCCCTCGGGCCTCTCTGGCTCCATGTCAGCCTGTCCCTTTGCTCGGGAATGTGCTCCCGACTCCATTTCCGAAAGCGTTTTCTTCGATGTGCCAAGGACCGCTAACCTCACTGCAGCCCCAGCACCACCAGCTAACATTTGCTTAAGTTTTTCACTCTTGCTCCTTGTGCTGTGCTTCTCCCCCGTAATTTTAGAAGTGTGCTTTTTTTCCTCCTGCCCATGGATGCAGCACGTAGAGAGAGGCGTGTTGATCATAAAAGTCTGAAGGGCAGAGGGTGTCACTCAGGGAATCTCACAGTTGGTGATTCTCTCTGCTGACGACATGATGTGCACATAAACCGAGAGAAATGTCTAAATGGGTTGAGCCGTTTTGGAGCAGAGGCCATATTCCGTCCCTTTTGAATTCTCAGTGCTCAGCCCCTTGCTTGGCACAGGGTAGCATGTCATGAAATTTGAATTTTTTGAATGAACGAGCATTAGTTTGCCTCCTCCAGAGAGGTACTTGGTCAAATGTGAGGCCAAAGCATCATGGTCACACACAAGGCTAGAGGACACATATGTTTCCTAATAGATCTTACGAGATAAGCCCAAGGAAAATCTCCTGGGGTGCAGAGAACACAAACTCCAGGTCCCCTTGAACCATTACCTAACAGCCCAAGGTCTTGTGGTCTGTTCTGTCTGCCTGTTCAGTGGATTGCTTCAAGATGGTGACAAGGCAACAACTGGGGTTATAGCTTGGTCCCTGAGTTCACTTCTCGGCACTGCAAGTCATTTTTAAAAGGAGAGCACACTGCAAGCCAAGGTTTCAGAAACCATGCTGAAGCAATTACTTTTATTATTACTACTGTAATTTTGGAGTTGAGATGCTCATAAGTCATAATGACTACCCCAATATCTCTTCCTCTACATGAACTCGCAGACCAAAGCCTACGGGATCCGGATTTCTCTACCTTTACGCCCCCAGACAGTTTTCCATCTGAGCTAGAAAGCCATGTTGAGACTTACCGGTCTGGACTAAGCAGTGTTCTAGGGCTAAGGAGAAAAAACCTGGCCTGCCGGGCAGCCCACGGTCCCTGGAGCACTCTTCCACGGCGGGTTTCTAGACAAGGCGGTGAAGAAGGAAGCAGAGAGTGAGCACTAAAACTACACAAGGGTGCCAGTTGTCAGTGCGTGTGGTGGCTGAGGTTGCCTAAGGCCCAGGTTCTAGAGACAAGTCCTTGGCCTGCCTGGACATCGCAGAATGGGATAGGGTAGTGTCTACCTTTCTTGCCGTCCCACAAGAAGGGTCCCTCTAAGATTTCAGTGAAGCCTTTCTCAGGGAACTCTTTGTTACTATAAATATGACTTCCTCTTGCTCCTGGGATACATTAGCTAGTGGAGGCATCACTGGTAACCTTCTTCACCCCTGTTCTTGGCCATCCCTTAGAAGATCCACAGAACTGTTCTCAAAGGACCATGGTGAGGCTGCACTTGGTGGTCCAGTTTAGCTGCACTGGCAATCCAGAAGAGGGGGCAGGTTACAGAGAGGAGATGAAATTCAGTGTAAGATACAGAAGGGAAGAGAGAGGCCAGCGAGCTTGCTGGGTGGATGATGGCCCCCGGGGCCAAGCCTGGCAATCTGATTTCAGTCCTTGGAAACCATGCGTTTGGAAGAGACAGCCAACCACTGTGAAAGTTGTCCTCTGGTCTCCATGCACGCACCAGGGTGTGCATTCATGCTCACACACACACACACACACACACACACACACACACACACACACACACACACATTTAAGGAAAGGGAATGGAGAGCAGACAGGCTCAGCATTTGCATTCCTGACTCTCTTTGTCCTCTAGAAGGAAAAAGAGTGTCCACAGCTAGATTTCCTGTATGGGTTACTGGCTCAGGATCTGGGTTAGTTACTTTTCTGATCGCTGTGACAAAGTAACTACAAAAGTGATTTAAGAAATGAGGGCTTCCTTGGATCTACAATGGTGCCCTGCTTGCAAGATATGTTAGGGCAATGATGGTACAAAGCTACGGGAGTAACCAACCGATATCTGATTTGGCTTAAGACCCACTCCACCAGGGCTGGAGAGATGGCTCAGAGGTTAAGAGCACGGACTGCTCTTCCAGAGGTCCTGAGTTCAATTCCCAGCAACCGCATGATGAGACCTAGCGCCCTCTTCTGACATGCAGGCAGAAAAGTGTATATATAATAAATAAATCTTAAAAAAAAAAAAAGACCCACTCCACCAGATGGAACCCATACCTGACACTGCTTGGATGACCAAGAACCTGATGTTAGATGGTCCAGGGACTTAAGGCAAAACCAAATACTACTTCACTGGCTGGTTTTGTTTGTCAACTTGACACAAGCAGTCATCAGAGAAGAAGGAACATCAGCTGAAGAAAGGTCTTCATGAGACCCTGATGGGGGAAGTCCCGTGTATAGGTCAATAAAGCACTGTTGGCCAATAGGGAAGTAAGATAGGTGGGACTAGGAGTCGAGCAGGACTCTGGGTAGGAGAAACACAGAGAGTCAAGATGTAACGCTATAGGGATAAGAAGCCCGGAAACTTCTCCGGTAAGAAAAATACTTAGATTAACAATTATGGGATAAATACTTAAGTCAGAGCTAGCCAGTAAGAAACAAGCAAGGCCAACAGCTTCATAATTAATATAGCCTCCTGTGTGTTTATTTGGGACTGATGCAGCTTTGGAACAGGCTGGCGGGAAGGCTTTCCCTTTACAAGACCCAGCTGTAAGGCATTATCTCACTTTTCTCCCTAACTGGCTTTTTGATCATGGTGTTTTGCTTGCAGCAATAGAAACCCTAACTAAGACGACTGCTGTCAGCTAGGGTTGACAACTACTGGTAACCCTAAGACAATGAATGAGTGAATGAATGAATAAATAAATAAATAGAAAGGAGTCATAAAATCACTCCTAATGGTATTTCTGTTGTACTCATAGAGCAGTGCTCTGTTCATCCACCATCAGAGAAGCTTCCTCCTGCAGTAGATGGGAACAAATACAGAGACCTCAGCCAGACATCACGCAGAAAGTGAGAGACCTTGGAACACTGTGGTGGTTTGACTAAGAATGGCCCCCATAGGCTCATAATTGACTGCTTAGTCATCAGGAAGCGGCATTACTTGAGCAGGTCTAGAAGATGTGATCTTGTTGGACAAAGTGTGCCACTGGGGAATGGGCTTTGAGGATTCAAAAGTCAAGGCCAAACCCTCTCTCTCTCTCTCTCTCTCTCTGTCTGTCTCTCTCTGTCTGTCTGTCTGTCTCTCTCTCTCTCTCTCTCTCTCTCTCTCTCTCTCTCTCTCTCTCTCTCTCTCTCTCTCTCTCCCTCCCTGCTGCTTGCAGATCCACACAAAGAATCCTCGGCTGCTTCTCCAGCACCATGTCTGCCTGCATAGCACCGTGTCCCTTGCCGTGATGATAATGGGCTAACCATCTGAAACTGTGAACAGCCAGCCACGGTGAAATGCTTTCTTTTATAAGAGTTTCTGTAGCCATGGTGTCCATTCACAGTAAGTAGGATGTTGACTAAAGATGCTGACTAAATACTAAATAGGATGTCTCCATCGAATCGTTCCCTTCAGAGCTCAGGGATCTTTGTAGAAGAGATGGCAGAAAAAGTGTAAGAGCCAGAGGGGATAGAGGACACCAAGAAAACAAAGCTTTCTAAATCAACATGAGCAAAACTCGTATGAGGTCACAGAGACTGAAGCAGCATGCCCAGGGCCTGCAGGCGTCTGCACCACGCCCTCTGTGTAAACATCATGGCTTCTAGTTTAGTGTTTTCATGGGGTTCCTGAGTGTGTGAATGAGTGGGTCTCTGATTCCTGTGCCTTCTCTTGGGACCCTTTACTTTTGTTGGCTTGTCTTGTCCAACTTTAATGTAATAGCTTTTGCTTTATCTTATTATATATTTATTTTGCTATTTTTTATTATTATCCCACAGAAGCATGTTATTTTTTCCTAATGAGAGAAAGAAAGGGAGTGGATCTGGATGGGAGGAGGGGTAAAGAGGAACTGGGAAGGAGAACTGTAATTAGGATATGTGTTATGTAAGAAGAGAACTTATTTTCAATAAAAGGGAAAAGTTAAAAGGTAACAAAGAGGCTTCATCTGGCTCACAGTTTGAGGGCATAGTCCATCACGGATGAGGTAACGTCCCCTTGGCTGCAGCAACTGATCACTATTGAGTGAAGCCTTTTCCTTGTCAGCCGCTTTGGTTTTTCCCCACCAGTCGCCTGGGCTCTGCCATGTTGTAGTCCCCAAATAACACACAAGACACTGTATTAATTATGAAACTGTTGGCCTTGCTTTTTTCTTACTGGCTAGCTCTGACTTAAGTATTTACTCCATAATTGTTAATCTAAGTATTTCTCTTACCGGAGAATAGGGTCCGGACTTCTAACCCCTATAGCAGCTACATGATGACTCCCTGTGTTTCTCCTCACCAGAGTCCTGCTCGACTCCTAGTCCCACCTATCTTGCTTCCCTATCGGCCAACAGTGCTTTATTCAACAACCAATAAGAGACAGATTTACAGAATGGCATCTCCCATCAGATCACATTGCATCAGCAGCCAGGAAGTATAGGGCAATGGATGTTGTCGTTCACCTTGCTTTCTTCTTTTAACTCCATCCCATGGAATGATGCCACCTCGTCCATTAGCCTAAGCTAGAAACTCCCTTGCAGACATGGCCCCTATTTGTCTCCTAGGCGATTCTGAGCAACATTAACCATCCCAAGATCTTACCGCTACCATGTTCCTTGTTTCTTAGGGATGTGAGTTGGAGAAATCAGGTAAGATGTGGGTGCTAGTCAGACAGCTTTGGCATCTCAGGATCCAGGAGAAGCAAGAATCATTGTTTCAGGCTTGAGACTCAAGATCTTGAAGCCTGATCTCTGCCTTCCTTCCATCTGAGCACACCCAACACATGTCTATCACTCAACCCTCTAGCCAAATGCACTTTGTCATTTGCTCCTCTCCCTTTGTTCTTTCTTAGTGGCTGCTCCTCCAGGGGGTATGTTGATGTTTAGGACCCCAGCTGAGCTATGTTGAAAGAGAGTGAGGACACCAGTTGGGGCCCTGAACTCTTACCACAATTCTCTCAGCTCTCACCTTCCTCCCCTTCTCATCGGATGGCCACCACATTCTCTCTCACAAAACCACTGATTTCTTCCGTGTTGCAGGAAAGTTGCTCCCCCAACTCCTCCCTGTCGTCTGCAATGGCTCTTGAATTTCAAGCTCCCACCAAAGACACTTCCAACTGTAAATAAGGAAAATCCAGGAAAGGGGAGCTTTATGTGGTCCAGTAAAAATTCTGATGCAAGGGAAACTCCCATGAGTCTACAAGGATGGTCCCAGCTAAGACTCCTGGTGGCAGTGGATGAGTAGTCTGAACTGGCCATCCCTGTGATCAGATTGGTAACTCATTGGAGAGTCTTCATCCAGTGACTGGTAGAGGCAGATTCAGAGACCCAAGGCCAAACATTAGGCTGTGCTGGGGGACGGGGGCGTGGGGGGGGTACTGCTAAAGAGAGGGAAGAGGGATTGTAGGAAACGGGATCAGGAACATCGCATGAAAAACCCACAAAAACCACTAACCTGGCCTATGGGAACCCACAGAGTCTGAGCCAACAACCAGGGAGCCTGCATGGCCCTCTGCATATATGTGACTGCTGTGTAGCTTGGTCTATTTGGGACTCCTGGCAATGGGAGCAGAAGTTGTTCCCGGTGCTCTTGGGAACCTATTTGTCATGCTGAGTTGCCTTTGCCCAGCCTGAGTAAAGAGGAGGAGGTTCATGGTCTTTATGACAGCTTGATAGGCCATGCTTTGCTGAAGGCCATGGGGAGGACTATCCCTTTCTGAGTGGTTATGGAGGAGATGCGGATTGATAAAGGGGAGGGAGGAGGGGAGAGGGAGTGAGGGGGGAGATGAGGGAGGGGAGGTTTTAGTCAGGATGTAAAATAAATTAACCAATCAAAAATACATACACGCATACACGCGTTTGTGTGTACAGATATATAAATGCATATATGTACTTTAAAATTAAAAGAAAAAGAACATTCCAGGGTCTGGAGAGATGACTGAATGACTAAAACACTTGTTCTTGCAGAGAACCCACACTTGCTTCCCAGCCTTCACATGGTAGCTCACAAACACCAGCAACTCCCTTTGTAGGAGATCCAATAACCCTTTTCTGACCTCACAGGCCTGCGGATGGCGCGCGTGCCCTCATGCAGGCAAGATACTCATAAAATCAACCAATCTGAAGAAAGAAAAGGAAAAGAAGTTCTAGATACGAACCTGCGTGTCCAGGACTGGTCTAGCCTTGGACAACGAGGTGAAGCCATCTGACAGTCAAGCCACGGCAGGCAACCCTTTTGTAGGCCAACAGAAGCTGCTGTGGATGACTTACAGTCTTCAGCTGTATCAGCCTGAATGCACCCAGTCCCGTCAGACCTGGGAAGCTGCACGGGCTCAGACCTCGCTGGTCCACAGATGGTGGAAGACAGGTTTTCTAGAAGAGAAGAGAGGGGGCGCTGAGCGGTTAATTTCACAGGTCACATCACAAGGTCACACCCCATCTTCCAGCTGGACTCAGCAATGACCCCCAAAAGTCTTTGCAGCTCCGCAGGGGGGGCGGTGTAGAAAGCGCAAACTCCTCCCCGCCCTCCCAGAGTGTGGCCTGTACACGGCTGTGCATTAGCTCAGTTCATCGTGTAGTCGCCTTCTGAATAACTTGTCTCGTACAAGCACAGGTTGAAGGAAAAGTCAACTGTGGATCTGGTACCCAGAGTATTAACTTGGCATTTGCAGGTGTCAGCAGAATTTCAATTCATGGTGAGTTTTTTTTTTCCTTTCTTCTCACATCCAGATCCTAAAAAAATTAAAAATGTCTTTTTTTTCAAATTTTATTTATTGTGTGTACATTGTTCCTGCCTGCACACCAGAAGAGGGCACGAGATCTCATTATAGATGGTTGTGAGCCACCATGTGGTGCTGGGACTTGAACTCAAGATCTCTGGAAGAGCAGTCAGTGCTCTTAACCTCTGAGCCATCTCTCCAGCCCCCCCCACAAAAAAAACATGTCCAATAAATACAAAATATGAAAGGAGAAGGGGAAAATGCTTGGAGGGAAGAAGGGGACCAGTAGAAGGAAGGAAGGAGTTGGACAAGAGAGGTTGATGGCAGGGTGAATAGGCGCGAAGTCCAATTATAGACAAGCATGGCGACGTCATAATGAAACCCATTATTTTGCACGCCAAGTTTAAAAATCTCACAGCTCCTCCACACACACCTCACAACAAAGGCTTCATTTGTGTAGCTTTACGCAAGAAGATGAATAAAGAAAGGAACGACCAACTGAATGCGTTTGGAGAAAAATATTGTCTTGCTAGGGTGGAGAGATGGCTTCCGCCGCCAAAGGCTAGGCTCACAACCAAAAATTTTGTCTTGCCAAAAGTCACCACAGAGGAAGAACTGGAAAGGGAAAATAAGGATGGGACTGCAGAAGACACGTGCGACTCACCCTCCCCGTCTCTTCCTCGGTTCTCTCTACTCCCAAGCACCGCAGAATTGGTGCCAGGAAAGAGTAGTCCAGCGGCAGTCCAGACCTGGCCAAAACCACTAATGGAAATGTGGAGAGACTGGAGCCCTTTCCCCCTGTGCGACTTGGAAACGTCAGTTGTGACTTAGGGAAGGAGGATTCATGGAAGCAACCAGGTCAGGGTCACCACACGCAGGCAGTATTTTAGGCCCAGCTGGTGAACGGGCTCCAGGAAATCTGGCGATAGCAGCACCATGCATGCGAGAATACATCCCCGCGACTCGCCCCTCGCTGAGTTAAAGATTATCATTGATTTATCCGATGCAGAAACAGCAGGGCTCCACATCATGTCTTGGAAAACAGCCTGGGAAAAGACAGAAAATTAGACAATCTTTATTATTAATTCCAGCACCACACTTCCCTGTGGGTCTGTGCAGTAAATCACTGGCTCTCTTAATGGGAGTTTCTCCCTGGTTAAGGGGAGATAATGGTTTTTCATGGGGCCTGCCCACATTCTCAGTTATAAAGACAATTTACAAATATATACAAATATATACATATATTACACCCAACTCAAAAAAAGCTAATAGATATACAAGGAATGCAAAATATCTAGAACAGTCACTATATTTCATGCTTTAAGCATCAGATATTTATTGAGCCCCTTCTACATGTTGAATGCACGTATGCTAGGCACTGGGCTTTGCTGAACGTTACAGTTAGGATCCCTTTTCAAAGTGAAAAAGAGTAATCTGGGAAAGGTTATTTGTGTGTGTGTGTGTGTCTGTGTGTGTGTGCACATGTGACTTGCTAGTGGAGTAGGAGGTCGCTTGCCTTCCCAACAGAGAACTCTAGAGAGAGGCTAGTGTATGCAAAACCAGCAATTCACCTACCCTGGGCCTCCACTTATCTACTGTGGTCTGGGATTGCTTTTTCTCCCCAGGGCCCCCAGAGAAGACCTGGTACAGGAGCCCAGGGCCAACAGACTTGAGCAGGAAAAGTAAGTCCTGGTCCCTCAGTCGTGTTTGGCTCCTGACCTTCTTAATCTGGAAGCAGCATCAGGATGCTGGCAGGAAGCGTCTTGGGTTCTGGAGTCTTAAAGATGAAGACATAAATTCAAGCTTGACCTCTATAGGAGCTTGAGCACAAGTCTCAGCCTTTCTGAGACTTCACCGTCTTCCCTTGCTTAATGAAGGCAAAGCCTGCCGTGCAGGGAGGTTTAATGGAGGCACTGCCTACCAGCAGAGAGGTCCAATTAGATACCACATGTGCCGTGTCTGCCACGCAAGCAGCAACATCAATAACAAGCACAGTTATGGTGCAGACTAAAATTCCACCCACAAAATGGAGTCGTGTTGTTGTTGTTTTTTAAATTCATAATATTTCCTAACAATCTATTCTAGGAGGACAAACTAGTAAGTATTGTGTAAGAAAGCCTCCATTCTCCAGCCCCGAGTCCCACCGCCAACCCTTCCTAAGACGCGGAGGGGGCGGGGTGGGAGAGAGACCCAGTCAGAGAGTAAATAAAGACTACCCCCCCCCCAAGGAACACATTGAGGCAACTCAAGGCATCTGAGATACAGCCACCGAGAGATAAAAATCCTCCCCAGTGTCTGACACTCTGGAGACAAAGGCCGTGTAGCGTGGGCGGCAGCCGGTGGGCAGAAGAGATTCCCTGGCTGAGCCGCCAGGGCACCAGCCCAGGTGACCACTCATTGGCCCGCCCCACACCCACTTCCTTCTCTCCCTTCCGCAGGGAGCGCTTTTCTGTTTGTGCAGGTGTTTTCCTTCCTGAGATCTACAGAGGACCCAGGCCCATCCTCAGGTTATCTGTTCCTGGCCCTGCCAGGCTGCTTGCTGGGCTCTGACCTCACCTCTGGCGTCAGCCTTATCAGGTGTGGAAAGAATCTAGGCTCCATCAGTTTTCCTATTCTGGGAGCTCCAGGCCCAGATCCCCGCCCCCCCGCCACACCCATACCCAGACCTCTTCCTCTATGATGGCAGAGGGCCAGGCACCTCTGGGACCGAACACGGTGGTCGTTTGCCAAATGCGGAATGACCGCGGGGATTCTACGAGCCAAGCCCTGAGGCCCAGGGGGACGAGAGGAAGGGTGAGGTTCAGATGACTGTTGACATAGAACAGAGCAGATGCCAAGCTCTGCTGGACGGTGGAATGGGAGGGGGCGGGGTAGGGATAGAAACTCTCCCCAGCCTAGGTCTACATGGGATACTAGTGAAGGGAGCAGTCCTGCATCCCGTCCTGTCTGGTGCTCCTGAGAGACCCTGCTGAGCAGGAAGAGAGAGAGAGGCCTCATTGGGGAGCCAAGATGTAGACAGTAAGGCCCTCTTTCCTGGGTACCTGGGCACTGGTAGCAGCTGCTCCGTGTCAACTCTTAATCCATAACTCCAGTTTATTTATTCTGCAGCTCCAATTTGTTTAGATCTGTCAGCTTGAGTTGTCTACAGGGTTAATGGCCTGGGGTGGGCGGAGCGGAGTGTTAAGTTAGAAGACCTCACTCCATCCCTTTGTCCTGCTGAGGTCAACGTATTGGTTGGCAAGAGCAGCCTTGCCTTTATGGGACTTGTTAGGGTCCATCAGTGGGACATCACTCCTTTGAACTACCTCCCTGAGTCACGGTTCTCCAACTTCACAAGGCCGGTGTTTTCACATTGGAGAGCAGGGAAGAGGCAGGGGTTAGGCTTGGCCCCCTCCCCCCAACACACACACGCTCACACACACACACACACACACACACACACACACACACACACACTCGCTCACACACCCTGGAGACTGAGCCAGAGAGCTGGCAGGCACCCTGGGTAAGACAGGCACTCTTAGAAGGGCTTTTACAAGGAAGTATGACCGTACCCTGGTCGGGCAAAGGTACAAGTAGGAGTTCTGTGGGAAGAAGTATTCAGACAGCTGTGGCCAAGGGAAGCAGGCCACTCATTAACAACGGAGTGTTTTCCCTGCAGGTCGGTGCCCTTGCTGCCCTCCTCCCTTGTGAGACACAGCTGGGGAGTCATCCTTCAGAAATCCACAGGCGCGTGCTGAATAATGGATCACAGGGCTGTTTATTGCAGCGCTGCATGCAGTGGTAGAAAACTGGAAACAGTCTAAATGCCTGTCGGTCAGAACTGGCTAAATAATTTACCGTCTCTGCGTGTAATAGCGCTCAGAAGCGATGGCCACCGTCTATTGCTGTCTCAAACAAATGCACTTAAGTTCAGGATTTTGTGTCAACGCTTGTTTAATAAAAGGTTTGGGGGAAGTGGAAAAAGGGGAAGAATGTGTATTTACGTACAACCTTGCTTAGAAGAATTCACAAACTGACTACTTGAATATATAATTTCGTGTGTGTGTGTGTGTGTGTGTGTGTGTGTGTGTATGTGTGTGTGTGTATGTGAGGGAGGGAGAGGGAGAGGGGAGAACCAAGATTAAGGTATAGAAATGACTCCATTTCTTTTTTTTTTTTTTTAACACAATGTCTCTCTGTACAGCCCTGGCTGTCCTAGAACTCACTCTGTAGAATCAGGCTGGATTCCAACTCAGAGATCTGCCTGTCTCTGCCTCCCAAGTGATGGAATTAGAAGCACTCTGCCCAACATGACTCCGATTCTTAATCAGGGGAATTATAAAATATTCTGGTTTTTTTTTTTGTAAGAAAAGGGTGGGGATAAAAGAGGTGACATTTCTCTCCGTACCTCTATAAATTAAGTTATGCCAATATTAGTTATTAGATAACAACTGAAATTCTAAGAAGTACAATGGATTTCCAACAGCAGCTTCAAAATAAGTTATTCTTCGAAGGAGATGTGTGAGGAAGAGGGGAGAGGTAAACGCTATAGGAGACAGACAAGACAGGCCATGAGTTGGCAATTGTCAAAGCTGGGTGAAAAAAAAAAAAAAACGCCAAGAAGGTCCTTATACTCCTCTGTTTCATGAATGTTCAACTTTTCCTGCCACCGGAAATGTGTTAAAGAATAAAGCCATCAGGACTAACGGCAAATGCTTGCCCATGCTGTGTTGTTCATTCCCTACATTGTTTCCCTCCTCCTGTCCAGACCGTCCTAGTCTAGATGTCAGCCTTTCCGAGAGAGCTGATTCCGGGGCATCTGCAGATGGGGCCACAAAATGGTCTCGAGGAAGAGGCTGGGCCGTGAAGAATTGTCTGGAGCTGGAAAGAAGGGAGTTTGTGGCGCTGTCTGCACAGTGCAGGCAGCTCTAAGGCTGGGGTGGTTGTGTTGGTGGTGGTAGCAGAGGAAAAGCAAAATACTTGATTGTTTTAACAACGAAGAGGAGAAGCAAAATACTTGATTGTTTAACAACGTACGTGGAGCTGTAAGAGCTGGAATAAAGACGGGAGCTGTTCCGAGGATTCCGGATGAAAAGCCTAGGCAACATGGGCAAGGCAAGCACACCTGAAGTGATATAACAAACAGGAAACACAAAGGGTCGTTTTCTTTCCCCTCCCTTATTACTGTGGGAACCACCGTGTACACAGGGCAGGTCTGTCTCTGAGGTGGCTTGCTCTTGGGACAGCTCAGGAAATGCCAAGCACCCCAGGAGGGCTCTTCTACGGGAACGTGGGGGGGGAGGTCTTTATTTTTATTTTACATTTATTGGTGTTTTTGACTGCTTGTGTGTCTGTGCCTGCTTGTGAGGGTATCAGAGAGCCCTGTAACTCTAGTTACAGACAGTGTGAGCTCTCATGTGGGCGCTGGGACTTGAACCCCGACCCTCTCTCTGGAAGAGCATCCAGGATTCTTGGCCACTTGAGCCATCTCTCTATATTTTTTTTCCATTACGTTTATTTGTCCCTTTGTGGGGGAGGGCACCAGTGCCCCCCACGCCCACGCGGAGGTAGGAGGACAACTTGTGGGGTTTGTTTCTTTCATCCCATCACGTGGGTTCCGGGGACCAAACTCGGCTCTTCAGGCGTGGAGGCCATCGCTATAACCCTCTGAGACATCGCGAATAGACCTGGAAAGCTTTTTCTGTTTGCGAGGTTACTAGGGCTCCTAGCCAATGGAGGAAACCTTCCCTCTGTTCCAAATGCCAGCAGGGTGTTGGGAGCCAACAGTTGCCACCTCTGAGCACTTTTGGAAGGTTCATCTTTCACGGGTGTCCTTTTGGGATCCAGTCGTGTGCATCCGCGAGTACCTCTGTGGCTGCTTCGGGGAAGCTTTGTGGACAGCTGTGCGAAGGAAGAGACCAGAGCACTTTCTAAGGATCCAGCTACGTCCCCCCATCTCCACTGTAGGCCGGATTAGATGGCCCTCCTCCCGTTATGTCCAGTGCCCACCTTCGCTGCAGGATTATTGCCAGATTTACACAGCTCAAGCTTGTTTGTTACTAGTAAGAAACTTAAATCGTTAAGGTTCATTTCCCAGCGTGTATGCAGTGCGCGTGCGTGCGTGGGTGCGTGTGTGTGTGTGTGTGTGTGTACGCACGTTTGTGGGTGCCCGTGCCTTTGAGAGAACCTGCACCCTTGCATGCGCGTGTCAAGGCCGGAGCGGGACATCAGATTTCTTGTTCCTGACTTTTTGCCCTGAGACAAAGTCTCCCACAGAATGGACGGGAAGCTTGACTTTTCAGTTTAGGCTGGCCAGCCACAAAGCTATGGGGATCCACCTGTCTCCAGCCCACAATTATTGGGGCTGCAGGCACCCATGGTCGTGCCTGGCTTTTTATGTGGGTGATGAGGATCTGAACTCAGGTCTTCATGCTGGTAAAGCAAACACTCTTGCCCTCTGTGCCATCTCCCCGGCACTAAAGAACTAAAAGGGGGATACATCTTTACCACAATGTGTAGATTAAGAAACGCAACAGTACAAACGATATAGTATTACCCTTTTAAAAAAAAAAAACCTTTGTTTTTTACTAACAAACTATTAAATAATCTATATATTGAATGTTATGGTATTTGGGGTTTGTTAAAAATAACCCGCAGTTGGGCTGGGCGAATGTAGCATGAGTAATAAAAACCCAGAGACAGATGCTGGGATTCAAGCTGAAGATCAGAGAAGCAAAGTGACCAAGTCATCAGAGAGTCCTCACCTCTCCTAAGACTCAGACTAAGTTTGGGGGCCATCTACCAAACCTCAGATTGCATCTCCAGACTGCACTGCTCCTCACCAAATCTAAGTCTGCTGCCTGAGACTGCACTGAGCTCCTTATATTCTCTCTGGGATTAAAGGTGTGAGCTCCTTTTCTCTTTCAGACTCATTCACTCTCATGTAGCTCAGAGTGGCCTTGAACTCACAGAGATCCATCTGCCTCTGAGCACTGGGATTAAACATGTGTGCCTTCTATGGCTGTGGCTAGCTTTGCATTCTGATCTCCAGGCAAAGCTTTGTTAGATCATAAACAATAAATCACCACAGAGGAAGGTGCAGAAAAACAAAAAGGTAGGTGCACAAATTCATTACAGTAATAATCATTACATTATTCTAAGCTGGGTAATTTTTACACAAGCATCCAATGTAACCACTCCCCTTTTAAAACTTCCAAACTATCAACATTCAGTCAGGGACAGGAAAAGGGGCTCACAGGGGGCCCATGGCTTTGGGAACGGCCATCTAGAGGAAAGGTCACTTATGTAAGGTAGCCTCTGGTTAAGCTGCCCATACTCTGGCTAGCTCCTTATCTGAACTCCTGTGGGTTTCCATGGGCTAAACAACATGTAACCGCAGAGCAAAGCCAGAAGGCATGATGTGATAAAAAAAAAAAATTAGCTCAGCAGGTAAAGTGTTCATCAGACAAGCCTGAGAAACCAGGTTCAATTCCCAGAGACTATCTAAAGATAGATGGAGCAGGGCGTTGGTGGCACACGCCTTTAATCCCAGCACTCGGGAGGCAGAGGCAGGTGGATCTCTGTGAGTTCAAGGCCAGCCTGGTCTACAGAGCAAGTTCCAGGACAGCCTCCAAAACAATTCAGAGAAACCCTGTCTCGAAAAAACAAAAAAAAACAAACAAACAAAAAAAAAAGATAGATGGAGAGAACAGACTTCTACACCATTCCATGGCACATGCACCATGCACACACTGTGGTAGTTGGAATGTGATCGGACCCCCATAATCTCATAAGGGGTGGCACCATTAGGAGGTGTGGTTTTGTTGGAATGGATATGGCTTTGTCGGTGGAAGTGTGTCACTGTGGGGCAGGCTTTGAGGTTTCCTATGCTTGAGATGCCTCCCAGTGTCTCAGTCTAATTCCTGTTGCTGCAAGGTGTAGGACTTGCAACTACTTCTCCAGCACTACATCTGCCTGTGTGCCACCATGTCTCACCAAACGTCTGAAACTGCAAACCGCCACCTCAATTAGATGTTTTCCTTTAGCAATAGAAACCCTAACTAAGACACTCTGGTGACTGTCCAGGTAGCGAGATGTCTCTGACAATTCTAGTGTTTACATAGTATCCTTCTGTGGTCTTTGATGGAGTTGAAGACAGATAGTTATAATCATAGTTTTCCTTAGTTATGATAGAAGACAAGCTACATATAAGACTTTAGACACACAAAGATAGGATAGGTGATACTTTCTTTAAATCTTACTAAATGTTAATGGGCAAATATTGTAACTGTAGTTCTGGCTTGGTAATTGTTTTGTTATATGTAATTTGACTATGTTAAAGTTAAAAACCTTTCTTTTCATTTAGACAGAAAAGAGGAGATGATGGGAGATGTCATTCTGTAAATCTGTCTCTCTTGTTGGTTGTTGAATAAAGCACTGTTGGCCAATAGGGAAACAAGATAGGTGGGACTGGGAGTCTAGGAGGATTCTGGGAATTGTAGTGAAGAGGCTGGTGGCCATGTGACTCTCCAGAGGAACAGATGCGGCAGGAGTGCGTCCTAGCAAAGATAAGTTCTTGTAAAATATGTATAAGTAATTGTGGGTTAATAATCAAGTCAGACCTAGCCAATAAGAAACCAAGCAAACAGCCAACAGCTTCATAATGAATATAGTGTCTCGTGTGTTATTTGGGGGCTGAAACTGCAGCAGGGCCCAGGCGGCTGGTGGGGAAGACTACATGTCACAACCTACCGATAATAATATTTAAATTTTTTAAGGTAAAATATAATTTTTTTCCTGTGCTTATCCTGTGTCAATGACAGTTCCCGCAGATGCTAGGGTTTATACCTATCCACACCCCCTCATGCTCCACACAGAGCCCAGCACACAGTAGGTGATCCTAAGTGTTCCATGAACAAAATACATGCTAGAATGTTGCATCCTATGCCATTACAGGTCCTAACACGGTACTGAGGTGTCATAGGTGCCCTAAATTGTGTCATGGCTTAAGCTGAAATCAATTAAACTGAAAAGAAAGGTTTATCAAATGCCAGCCTTGTCTTTCTTTTGTGTGTGTCTTTTTTTGGGGGAGGGTGAGGTCAGAGGAGTGGTTATGGTGGATTGAACCCAGGATCTTGCCCATTCTAGACAAGAACTCTGCCATTGAGCTATTCTTACAGCTTCTCCTTACCGAGTTTATTTTTTGTAATTGCTCCCAAACAAGGAATTGCTTAAATCCTAATGTATCAGAATTTGGAGGGCCTTAAAGACCACTTTATACAGTCTCCTTATGTTATAGATGAAGGAAACATGGTCCAAAGAAACGATCTTTCAAAGGCTCATGGGTAGTACAGACAAAGCCCAAACAAGAGAATTTAATCTCTTGGAGGCCAGCCTGGACCTTCCTTGTTACACCATCTAGCTCTATGACTGCTAATTTGGCACATGATCCCCTTGCAATTCTGTCTTCACAAAGAGAGCCTAAAATATGTAAATGCAACTTTTCTAACATCTGGGTCACAGGGACTTCATAGCTCCTGAAGAATACTGTTTGACACATTGGATTTTGTCCCCCAAGAAGATGGTCTAAAAAACACAAGAAAAGAAAAGCCTTTGCCAAAGCAAACAGAGCTGTGGTTGTGCTCTCCAGAAAGGGTAGAGGTTCATGTTGTTGTTTTTTTTTTTTTAAAGGAGTGCACTCTCTGAAGTGCCCCTGAAATCTGAGTCAATCTTTTAAAGTTCCCTCTGCATCGTGTTTGTCAAACTGTATGAAATCTAGCACTATCTAAGCCATGGATGGTCCGAGCCCTGTCCTGTCCAGTGCTGCAGGGGCTTCCATCAGTGTGAAGCCAAAGCTTAAACAAATCAGCCAAGACAGCATACCAAACTGTACGTAGTGGGAATAAACCTGGGAAGTATTTCACGACATCGTGTCTTCCAACCACCATTGGTTTCTTTTTTTTCCCCCCCCTAAGGTCTTGAGTTTCAATGCTGGGTTGAATTTAATTTTGTTGGCTTTCAAAGTAGTACAGATACAGTGGTTTTTCTTGTCATTCATATTCTGGGCTTTGCACAAAGAGGTAAAAGGTCCTTTGCCTCTTCCGAGCCTCTTGTGACATTTCCATCCCTCTACCTAACCGGGTGGCTGGATTTCTTTAAGAAAACTGCTGAGCTGATCCCGTTCATGCAACCCAGAAGACTGAGGTAACAGGAAAGAGCAAAGAAATGAAACTGTCAAGGAGAAAAGTTACAAGCATGCACTGCACCTCGGAGGTGCTCTCAAAGCAAGGGGAGGTCAAAGGTTCTGAACTGACACAAACCAAGCTGGGGGCACAAAGGGGTGATGTGCTGGTTATCATCTTCATACGCAAGCAGAGAGGTTAGCTTACATCCATTCATCAAGGGTTAAACTTTCAACCTTAGAGCTTTAGGTGAGTCAAGGCCAGAGACCAAGCAAAGAAAAGCAGCAACACCTTATCTCTAATCAGCCCTGCCTCAAAATAGCTCTGTCTCCCCTCAGGCAGAAGAGGCTTGTTCGTCATCCTAGCAAAAAGCCCTGTGCTGCAAGCAAGGTGCTGAGCTCCACTCCATTAGAAAAGTCAAGCAGCGTGGGTTACTCTTACTCATCGCTTGCACGAAGTTAGCTCTCTCTGGGTGGAGCAACGCATAATTTAGGAAAACCTGAACATTGCTGGCACAGAATCAGGATGCCCCAGTCAGGAAAGACTTTTCCCTAGGCCAACATTTCATCTTACAGATGGAAGAGACCGAGAGCCGGGAGATGGATGGTGTGACCAAGAACACACAGGGAATGGCTAGAGGAAACATTCTCTTGGCTGGGTTGCTGAATTCATATGAAAACAAAAATAAAAAAATAAAAAAATAAAAGCAAATGAAACACTCACGCCCTGGTCAGTTTTCCTTTCGTCGTTAAGGAAGTCATCCCCAGAGCTGCAAGAGTTTCCGAATCAACACTTTTACAGGCAGCAGTTCTTGTTAAGCCTCTTTCACTGGGGCCTCTCCAACCTCCTCTTCTAGCTTCGAGATCCAGGCGGTGTTTTCACTTTTTTTTTTTTTAACTTATTTTTGACATCTGAGGTTGAGAGAGATGGTTTGCCACTGTTTCTCTCCCACTGCTGGAAGAGAACATAACAACAGGGTAATTGAAGTTCTTGGGGGGGGTCAGACCCAAATGCACACTAACATTATCAGCTGCTTCCCCTCACCCCGGGCCCTATGACTCAGGATTTGCCCCCCCCCCCCCAGGCTATCTACTGGATGTCTCGACTGGGACATTGTCCCCCTACAGTTCCTGAACCACCATTTGTATCCTGTACCTACTGTGAACCCTTCACACAGTATGGGCCTCGTCCAGACTGTCTGAGGAACAGAGAGTCTGAGGTACAGGGAAAGCCTGGAGCTTGCAAAAGGCTGCTGGAAAGTGGGCAGGATAACTGGAGATTTAGACCTCAGACAGTTCCAGGGCTGGAACAGGCGCTGGTGGGAAAATGCCTGGCTCTAGCTAGCTTCAAAGAGTTTTGTTTCAGGTTGTTAACTATCCAGGACTTGGTGTCCAAGACTAAAGAGAAATAGAACACTAAGGGACAGGAAATTGAATTCCAACTCCCTTCCATTTCTCTTGATTGTCATCTCTTAAGCGTTCCCATTTATTTCTTAAAGCATGAGTCACTCGGGCTGGACTTATCACAGCTCTTAGGTAGAAACTGGTCCCTCGTTATTCCTCAAGGTGGGATGTATTTCTTCTAGCGAAACGCCAAGCTACTTCCCAGATACCCAGAACTCTCTGTTTCCCCCACTAGACTTCCTACTGAAGGCTGAGCCGATATCAGATTCTTATAAATAAATTCTTAGTAACCCATGGGTCAACATCACAGTTCTAGATTTGTTTCGATCCATCCCATTCAGGACTCATGTCATATTTATGAAGAAACCACCAGACAAAATTCACACCCACTGGACAGCAGAGCCAGATCCGGGCCCACACTTCCTGAAGTGAAATCTGGCTCGTGCTCACCCTTCTGCCACACAACACAGAAAATCTAATGCCAACAAGATTTAAGTGTAAGTCAGCAAAGAACAAAATAGTGCTAGGTCATTTTGGAACAGACTTTACTATATAATCAATTAAAAACAAAAACAAAGGCGAAAACTAGGTGTGGTGAAGCATACCTTTAATCCCAGTACTCAGGAGGAAGAGGCAGGAGGATCTCCGTGAGTTTGAAGCCAGCCCATATAGTGAATCCTAAGAGAGCCAGGAGCAGCTTTAAATGATGCACTCCTAAGTTTACTATAACTTTTTTTCTTTTTCCTTTTTCTTTTTCTTTGTTTTTGTTTTTGTGTCCTGGTTTTTCAAGACCGGGTTTCTCTGTGGAGGCAGTCCTGAAACTAGCTAGCTCTTGTACACCAGGCTGGTCTCTGAACTCACAGAGATCTGCCTGCCTCTGCCTCCCAAGTGCTGAGATTAAAGGCATGCGCCACCACCGCCCAGTGCTTACTAGAATATTTAAAGCTCCAAAACCATTTCCCGACAACCATGCCCTCATGAATGTCTCTGTTTTTAAAGCAGAAGTTAAATTACAGTTGTTTAATCAGAATAAAAACGGGTTCCTTTTTAGCTGAAGAACTAAACGTGGAAGTCGAATGAGTCCTTAGGATAATTGAGACAGAGGCCTGTGAGGCTTTTTGTTTTAATATCTATGCAGCATGCACTCTGAGTTGTTTCGCCGCTCCAGTCTGAATGTGACATGTTCCTAAAGGTTCATTTGCTTGAACGCTTGCTCTCCAGTTAGGGGTGCTACTGTGGGGAGGTTTGGAATCTTTTCGACAGCTATGTAGGTCCGTAGGCACAGGGCCTGGGCCAAGGCCAGGGTATCTCTACTACTTGATGCATGGAAAAGTGACAGATATGCAGCAAGCTCCTGTCACCAGCCAGGCGAGCGCCAGCTGCCATGCAGCCCCTGCCTCGTAAATCTTCGCTCCTCTCTCACCGGGTATGCAGTAGTCCTCGCGAAGAGAAAAGTAACCAATCCACTCAGCAACATGCATGCCGCTCATGCCTAAACATTAGGCTGTGCGATGAATGCTCAGGCTTCAAGGTAATGCTGCTGCCAGAAATAGCATCAAACACCTACTGAGTGCCTACTGAGTACACAGAATGGCCCTGGAGACTTCTCTTGTTCTTCCCCTCGGATGACTGTGAAACCTCGGGTTCGTACTGCAGGGTATCGTATTTGTAAATGACAAACTTGTGGTGATGGGAACCTTGACAGATACATGACATATACCGTGATAGTCGGCCCTCGTGCCGACCTTGTGGCTAGTGAGTGAGGGCTAGGGAGGGGAGAGCTCATTAACAAACTTGAAATCAGGTAACGAACAGGTTTGATCATATATTGACATCTCTAAAGCCTTGGTTTACTATACCAGCGCTTATGCATATTAGTGGCACCTGAGGGCTTCCGAGTAATAGTGAGACTAGGTCACGCCTCAGAGTTCCGCACATGTGAAGGTGCAACCCTCAAGTGTAGACTCTTAAAAATCTTTGTAAATGGCTGGATGCGGTAGTGTGCAGTTGTAATATAAGCATTTAGGAGATGGTGGCAGAAAGGCCAGGAATCCAAAGTCATCCTTGGCTACGTAATGGAGTTTGAGGCAAGCCCGGACTACATGAAGCCGGGTCTCAACACCAAAAGCAAACAAAGCAAAATTTCTATACGTAATTCTCATATGCAACCTGGGTTTGGGACTATAATTAGCTATGCCGAGTCTCGGTTTCTTCCATTGTAAAATAAGGCGTTTACTAGAAGAAACCATCCTGAGTGAGGTAACCCAGTCACAAAAAGACAAACACGGCATGTGCTCATTCTTTACTCACTCAATATATGGATTTTAGACATGGATCAGGGGAGTGTCAGCCTACAATCCCAGTGCCAGTGAGTCTGGGAAACAGGGAGGTTCCCAAGAGATATGCATGATACCTCCAGAGAAGTGGAATGAGGCAATATCTCCTGAGCAGATTGGGAACATCGGGGGAGGGGAGAGGGAACCAGGAAAATGAGAGGGGGATAAGAGGAGGGGAGAAGAAGGCATGGGGGAGCAGGAAGGTTGAGTCGAGGTAAGAATAGAGAATAGCTCGATGAGAGATACCATAATAGATTGAGTCATTATAGGTTTGAGGAGGGAGCTGACACTAGTGAGTTTTCCAGAGATCTACAAGGATAACACCAACTGGAAAATTAAGCAATAGTGGAGAGACTACATTAATAGCCCCTCCCTGATGATAAGGTTGATGACTACCTTATATGATGCCATCCTAGAACCTTCATCCAGTGACTGATGGAAGCAGAATCAGATACCCACAGCTAAACAATGAACTGAACTCCTGGAACCTAGTGACAGAGATGGAGGAGTTGTTGAGCGAAGCCTTTTCCTTCCCTGCCGCTTTGATTTTTCCCTGCCAGCTGCCTGGGCTCTGCCACGTTGCAGTCCCCAAATAACACACAGGAGGCTATATTAATTATGAAACTGTTGGCCTTGCTTGTTTCTTACTGGCTAGCTCTGACATAAGTATTTACTCCATAATTGTTAATTTAAGTATTTCTCTTACTGGAGAAAAGGGTCCGGACTTCTTACCCCTATGGCAGCTACATGATGACTCCCTGTGTTTCTCCTCACCAGAGTCCTGCTTGATTCCTAGTCCCACCTATCTTGCTTCCCTATTGGCCAACAATGATTTATTGACATATACACAGTACTTCCCCATCAAGGAGTGATGAGCAAAGGGGGTCAAGACTGTGCTGGTGAAACCCACAAAGACAGCTGACTGAACGAGGGGGAACTCTTGAACCCCAGACTGATGGCTGAGAGGCCAATAGGGGACTGATCCAGATTCCATGAATGTAGTGTCAGTGAGGAGGCCTCAGAAATCTCTGGGGCCTTGGGTAGTAAATTAGTGTTTACCATGGTGTACGAATGAACTTTGGGAACCCATTCCACATGAAGGGATGCTCTCTCAGCCTGGACACATAGGGAAGGGCCTAGGTTCTGCCCTGGACAAAATGACAGACTCTGAAGATCCCCCCCAAGGAGAGCTCACCCTTCCTGGGGAATGATGTGGGGACTGGGTGGGAGGCTGCCGGGGGGCTGGTGGAGGGGCAAAGGAGGAGGGATGGGAGAGGGAGCTGGGACTGACGTGTGAAGCATGCATGTTCCTAATTTAAATAAAAACATATATTGAGGAAAAAATAAGGTGTTTAGATAGATGGACATTTCTAAGTCTCTTTGCAGTGCTGTAATCACCAGAACTCTGCTAAGGCTGGGTCATTAACTGCTTAAGATACCATTTGCCTTTGAAATTCACAGTTTTCACTCACACTTCCTGATACTCTCCCAACTTCCTGCTTAACCTCAAGCTATGTATGAAGCTCTTTAAACATTTGTGGCAGATCTATAAGAAGTATGGGGTCAAGCAACCTCTTGCGAGATGGCTCAGCAGCTAAGAGCCAAGACTGCTTTTTCAGAGGACAATTCCCAGCACCCACATGTCAGCTCACAACTAGTAGTAACTCCAGTTCCAACACCCCCACCTGATCTCTGTAGGCACCAGACACTCAGGTTATTTCTTGTATGTTTTTAAAGACCAGGAAAAGGCCTTGGTGCTCCAAGAAGATTTCTGTCTTCCTTCCATGCCATCATCTATAGCTATTTTGTGAAATCCCCCAACAATCTAAACTGTTTAGTGTTGCCCCTGCCATCGTTACAACAAAAAGTTCTTTCAACATGCTTACCCAGGAGCAGTAGCCCATGTCTGTAATGCCAGCACATCAGAGGTTGAGGCAGGAGGACCCATGAGTTCCAGGCCAGCCTGGATTACATAGTAAGACCATGTCTTTGTTAGGGTTTCTATTGCTGTGAGGAGGCACCATGACCATGGCAACTCTTTCTTACAGAGGAAGACATTTATTTGGGTGGCTTACAATTTCAGAGGTTAGGCCCATTATCACGGTGGGACATGGCGGCATTTAAAAGACTAAAGTTCAAAATCTCTTCTAAGATTCATGCAATCTCTTAACTGTAACCTCCTGTAAAACCAAAATTTAAAAAAAAGCAGGTCATATATTTCCAATATACAATGGCACAGGATATACATTACCATTTTAAAAAGATATGGAAAGAAACATAGTAAGGAAAGACTGGATCAAAGCAAGAACAAAACCAGATAGGCAAACTCCAAACTCTGTATCTCCGTGTCAGGTGTCAGAACACTCTTCAGATCTCCAACTCCTTTCAACTTTGCTGACCACACCCTACATCTTTCTCTTGGGCTGGTTTCACTCCATGTTAGCAGCTCCCCTTGACAGGTTTCCCATGGCTTTGGCATCTCCAACATCTTGGAGTCCTCAAGGCAATCCAGGCTTCAACGTCACAGCTTCATGAAATGGCATCTCTAGGCCTCCTGACACATATGCCTGGCCTCAGTGGATTTCCTTAGCCATGGGGGCAAATTCCATAACCCCTTTCTTCCATCTTTAACTCTAAACCCAGATCCTTGTAGCTGAAGCTGCCAAGTTCTGCTGCTTGTTGGTTGCTGGAATGTGGTTCCCCCTCGTTCAATCGAATCGTCACCAGATTTCTGTTTTCCACCTTCACTACCTAAGAGTGACTTTCCAGAAACTGGATCTGTAGACCAGGCAGGCCTCAAACTCAGAGATCTGCCAGCCTCAGGCTGACTCTTTGGACAACAGCAAAAAGTAGCCACATTCTTCAACAAAATATTTCAAGAACGATTTCTAGGCAACACACTAAAATTCTTCTCTGAAATCTCTTGAGCAAGACCCCCACAGTTCAAGTCTTCCGTGTTCCTACTAGTATGGTGTGGCACAGGGAGCATGTCTAATGTATCGGGCGAAAGCCTGGAGATTTAAATGAAAGACAAGCCACTTGTGCTAAGAGAGTGTGTGCGTGTGTGCATGCTGTGTCTACTGCAAGGAGGGAGCAGTCTTATATACAGACTCACAGCGCAGTGGAAAGAGCCCAGGTGTAACAGTCCATGTTTTCACAATTAGAGGTTGATGCCAGTGGGGCAAGGTGGGGGCTGTCAGCCAGGACTAGAAAACAGGATGCACCTGTGGTTATTGGCTGACAAGCCTCTCACAGAGGCCCCGTGGGTGCTGGGGCCCAACTGTGTGGCCCACCAAGCAGTGCTTAGAGCACTGTACTGCTTTGTTAGTCAAAAGAGCAAAGTGTAAATTCCTCTGAACAAGAATGTGGTCAGACCTATCACAATATCCCAGTGCCTGGTACCAACTTCTGTCTTAGTTAGGGTTTCTGTTGCTGTGAAGAGACACCATGACCACAGCAACTCCCTAATTGGTGCTGCTTACCTTTTCAGAGATGTAGTCCATTATCATCATGGGGGGACATAATGGCATGCAGGGACATGGTCCTGGAAAGGCAGCTGAGAGTTCTATGTCTTGATCCACAGGCGGCAAAAGGAGACTATGCGCCACACTGGATACAGCTTGGGCAAAATAAACCTGGAAGCTCACCCCTGCAGTGACACACTTCCTCCAACAAGGCCACACCTACTTCAACAAGGCCACACCTACTTCAACAAGGCCACATCTCCCCTAATAGCACCACTCCTTTTGGGAGCCATTTTCTTTCAAACTTCCACAGACCATGCCTCAAAAAAAAAAAAAAAGTTTATAATCTTTGACCTAGAACTCCTGTCCTAGAAATCTGTATGCAAAGGAATAAGTCAAAAGCAGAAAGAGTTTTAGAATGAAAGATGTCCATTTCAGTATTATTCATTATGATGGAAAACTGGAAACAACTCATATTCTAACAGTAGAAGGTCATGATTTGGTAGAATAGGATCGAAACCACAGAATGGGGAAACCGCTATTACAAGTTGCTCTTATACAGGGGGGGGGAGGCTCCCAAATGATGTAGAAAATTAACACGCATAATGTAGAATGAAAATGTAAGGTGAAAGCATGATGTGATAGCCTGTGCCCTTAATATCAGTACTCTGGAGGGAAGGATTGGTGGATCTGTGAGTTCAAGCCCAGCTTGATCTACATAGTGAGTTCTAGGATAGCCAAAGCTAGTAGAAAGACCCTGTCTCAAAAAAAAAAAAAAAAAAAAAAAAAAAAAGAAAAGAAAAGAAGGAAGGAAAGGAAAAGAAAATGTAGGGTGAAAATTATGTTTTATGTACTTATTACATGAAAAAAAAAAGAAAAACACCTTCTTCAAAAGTTAAAACACCTGAAGTTGTCTTTACAGTTGACCCAATTTTGAGTGTGTGAACACTGGAATACAAATGTGATTCTGAAGCAGTTTCCTTTCTTTCTGTTTGGTGTGTGTGTGTGTGTGTCTATCTATCTATCTGTCTGTCTGCCTGCCTGCCTGCCTGTCTGTCTGTGTTTGTGTCTGTGTGTGTGCGTATGTGTGTTGGTGTTTTGAGACAGGATTTCTGTGTAGCCTTTGGCTGTCTTGGAACTCCCTCTATAGACCAGGCTGGACTTAAACTCACAGAGATCCTCCTGCCTCTGCCTCCCGGGTGCTGGGATTAAAGGCGTGTACCACCACCGCCCAATCCTGAAGCAAATTTTGTGTGTGTGGACCTGTAAGCCAGCGTGCGCTGAACCCTCAGAGTGAAAACATGAAACCACAAACTGACGTTTTTTTTTAAGAGTGAAAAGCAAATAAGGATTTAAAGTTAGAGTCAAGGTAAGGGAATTGTGACTTCTCTGCTACGGGTCACTTATCTTCTTCAGGAAGATACTCCAAGTCCCTAAACAAATATAACTTTGTGGATAAATGGATCAAGAAAGAAATAGGCTTCACAGCGGGGACTAAGAACAATCAAGACTGCCCGGTCTCAATGTGTGGCCATACTCATTGCTTTCCCTTGGCGCCTCAACGGTTCTGGTACAGCGGGGACTATCAGATGGGTTCAGGGGGAGTGCTGAGATTGCGGCCACGCCCTGCCTCCACTGTTTTAGGGTGCAGCACCCACACTGAGGCCGTCGTCAGAGCCTGCCCTCCAGACCTGCTTCCGACACAGGGTATCTATCTAGTAGCCTTGGAGTTCAGAGACTCCATCTTCTCCCCAGGTGGCAGCGGCAGGGTGCCGTGACTCTGGCCAGATGTCTCCCCACAAAGAATTATGTGGCGGCTCAGAACAGTGGTGCTCCTGTCCGTAACAGAAACTGATGGAGTGTAGCTGGCTGATGGGAACTCCTGCTGGAAAAGAAGGGGAGCCAGGCAGGTAACCGCCCACCCAGCCAAAGCCGACGAAGACCAACATCGAGGCAGTGCCTCCCTCTGGAAGAATGCATCCTGCCTGATATGCTTCCTGACTGGCTGAAGGACAAGGGCCACAGACCACCTGTGCCCTCCTCCAGCCTTGCTTCAAGCGTCGTGGACATCCACGCGGAAAGTGGTAACATCTGGAACCTGCCTATCTGATAGACTTACGTTTCTCTTTGGAGTCTTGCCCATCCTTACCCTAAGCACGCACTTCGTGACATCGTTAGAGGAGGTGTTTGGGGTCTGTTCTTTTTGGGTGTGGTGCTCTGCCTCAGTTTCTCCTGGATCTTCCACACTACCTCATATCATTCAGAGAAAGTCTTTCCGGCTTTACCCAAACTAGGCTATTCAGGGATTCTTTTTTTTTTTTCTTTTTTTAATTTAAATTAGAAACAAGCCTGCTTCACATGTCAATCCCAGCTCCCTCTCCCTCCCCTCCCCCCACCCCCAAACAGCCCCCCATCCAATTCCCTTTCTGCTCCCCAGGGAGGGTGAGGCACTCTATGGGGGATCCCCAAAGTCTGTGTATCATCCAGGGCAGGGCCCAGGCCCTCCCCCATGTGTCCAGGCTAAGAGAGCATCCCTCCATGTGGAATGGGCTCCCAAAGTCTTTTTGTACACCAGGGATGAATACTGATCCACTACCAGAGGGCCCATAGATTGCCCAGGCCTCCTCACTGACATCCACATTCTGGGAGTCTGGGTCAGTTCCATGCTATCCTCTCAGCCATCAGTCTGGGGTCCATGAGCTCCCCCTTGTTCAGGTCAGCTGTTTCTGTGGGTTTCACCAGCCCGGTCTTGACCCCTTTGCTTATCACTCCTCCCTCTCTGCAACTGGATTCCAGGAGTTCAGCACAGTGAATGAAGGCTCTAGGATAGCATATAAGGTAGTCATCAATCTCATTATAGGGGAAGGGCATTTAAGGTAGCCTCTCCACTATTCCTTAGATTGCCAGTTGGTGTCATCCTTGTAGGTCTCTGGAAATCTCCCTAGTGCCAGATCTCTCCTCAATTTTATAACGGCTCCCTCTATTATGGTATCTCTCATCCTGCTCTCCTCTATTCTTCCCCTGACTCAACCTTCCAGCTCCTCCATTTCCTCCTCTCCCCATCTCCTTCTCCCAGCTCCGTCTCCCTTCTCCCCTCCTGCCACGCTCCCAGTCTTCTCAAGGATATCCTGTCCCCTTCTCCTTCTCCGGGGTACCATGTCTGTCTCTCTTAGGGTCCTCACTGTTTCCCAGCCTCTCTGGCGGTATGGGTTGTAAGAGCCAGAATCTGGAAGCAACCTAGGTGCCCCTCAACTGAAGAGTGGATAGAGAAAATGTGGTACATTTACACAATGAAGTACTATTCAGCAGGGAGAAAAACAAACAAACAAACAAAAAACGGAATCTTGAAATACTCAGGCAAATGGATGGCACTAGAAGAAACCATCCTGAGTGAGGTAACCCAGTCACAAAAAGACAAACATGGTATGTACTCACTCATATCTGGATTTTAGACATGGAGCAGGGATTATTTTCTCGTTCTGGGGAACTTAGTTCCGTGGGTCTACTGGTACAGGTCATCTACTGTTCTATGTCGTGGGATTTGCCTTTCTGGATCATTGCAATGCAACACGCTTATTAATCTTAAGCACTGGCAGACACAGCAGGCTGAGGCAGCAGCGCCCTCCACAAAACTAACCGGTCTCCTGTTTGGCATCCTGTGTCTGCTCTGTTCAAGAATGTTTGTGGGGCTTGGCCTGAGTTTATGACCACCACCCCCCCCCCATTCACTTTACTATCAATGTGAGCTTTGTCAAGGCCGCACTAGGGGACCCGATGGCCTGGTTGGACATCACTGGAGCTGCATTTATTGCTGCCCAAGTTCCCCAGTGTGTCTTTTCTGGAAAACTTGTCATATGGTATCGGTCTCGTCAGATTTTCCACACCCTGGTGTGAGTAGCAGTTTTGGTCCACTTCCCTGGGTCTCCTTACTTCAGGGTTTCTGTGACGGCCCAGAAGGCAGCTGTACTGACCACCCTCTTCTTTGAGCCTTCCCACCTGAAAGGCAGAGGAAGTATCTCCTAAGAGATTTTGAGAATAACTTCTTTGGGCCTGGAGAGATGCTCAGGGGTAAGAGCACTTGCTGCTTTGGCAAGGGGTTTTGGGGTTTGGTCCAGTCACATGGCAGCTCACAACCACCGATAACTTCATTTCCTGAGAATCAGCTCCCTTTCCTGGCCTCTGAGGGCACCAGGCATGCAAGTAGTACACGTACACACATGCAGCCAAACACGCCTTCACAAAATAAAGATAGACGAATCTTTTTAAAAAATAAGTTCACTTGCTGAATCGAGAGGAAGACTCTGAGACATCTGTTTATAAGACATTTTATATCTGTTTATAAGACATACTTTAAAGAATTTCGTTCCAGTCCAGTGTGCTAGCTTGCTCTCCATTTCTAGGCCCCGAGGGGAGGTTGACAGTGGTCAACACAGCCATGCCCTCCCCAGCAGGCCCCATCACAGCATGACCCCCACTGATCCATCGCAGGGAAAACCCTCTCTAGCTCACGGAGAGGTTTTAATCCATTTCTCCTACGATTTGGGAACAGGAAAACTGTGACCTAGGACACGTCAGAAATATTGGGCATTTTTTGTTGTTGTTGTTGGTTTTTCCCTGAAGAAAATAGTCTTTTCCTGCTTCCATCCTGACTTTGCAATCTGTTTTGGTTTTGGTTTCTTACACACTTTTCAAAAACAGTCATGAGTGACCTGGCCTTATCTTTCTAGGGCCTTGGTGGGCTTACACAGTGAGAAGAATAAAATGACCGACTTTTTTTTTTTTTATAGCCAGGTTGATCATGGAAAATATGCTTACGCTTCAAACCGCTTGAGTTTCCAATTTTTTACTCTTGGCAAAGTAACGTAAAATTAGCCGGGCGTGGATGGCACACACCTTTAATCCCCCCCCACTGGGGAGGCAGAGGCAGGCAGATCTCTGTGAGTTTGAGGCCAGCCTGGTCTTCAAGAGGTAGTTCTAGGACAGGCTCCAAAGCCACAGAGGAACCCTGTCTCGAAAAAAAAACAAAACAAACAAACAAAAAAAGGAACATAAAATTAAAAAGGAGGAAAGGTATCTAGTATGTAATACTCAGCTTTTAAAAGATGCCTGCTGTCGTTGCTTTGTATCTTGGGAGTGAAAGAGAACACAGAGGCTGGGAGACGGTCCAATGAACAAGAATTACCAGCTACCCAAGAGTGAGGACC